TCCCTTCCGCTCTGAAATCAATAAAAAAAAATTTGAAAAAAGTTTTCAGGGCTTTGGTTAAAATTTTGTCAAGAGTTGCACAAACTAAGTTATAAATAAATATAGTAACTTTCATGATAATTTCTTTCTTACAAAAATAAAGCCTTTTCTTCTGCCTTGCTTGCGTCCATATTGACCTACTGCTTTCACCTTGACCAATACTAGCTCAACATTGTCTTTTCCAGTATTGCTGGCTAGGCAGGGTACATGGGTATGTCCTAGTCTAGGGCCTGTACATTTGCCCAGAAATAGAGACTCTGAGAGGTGGAAAGAAACACCTTTCTAGTGCCTTTATGAGCCTTCACTCAAAATGCTTTCTTAAAATCTGGACCTCACGCTTGTGGATTATCTGTCTTGTTTTTGTTGTTACATTTTAATCAACCAAATGCCTTCTATAAGCAAGGTACTGTGCATATATTAGGGGAAAAAAACAAAAGCAAAAAAACTACATCTCTACCCTCATGGTGCTTAAAATATAGAGATAAGGTACATGAAAGAACACCACCATAATTCACTCATGCTTAGAGAGTGAGTAGAAAGGTAAGAGTTCTGTTGAGGATAAGAAACCATTGACTCGTGTTTTTACATTATGCTGTTCGATTATTCATGCATGTCTGGTTCACTGTTACAAGATAAACATTGTGAGACACTAAGTTTTGTATCATATCCTAGTCAGCCTTAGTGGGACATTAAGGAGCTGAAGAATTCAAAGAATGTCCCAACTAGCATATCAAGTTGACTTTTTCTGTTGCAGCCCCAATTCCAGGCTATGCTGTGCCTGGGAGGTGTGCAGGTCCATTGGGACATGAGAGCCAGTCCCATCATCACATAGATGATAGTGTCTCATTTCTCTTCAGTTTGTAATCCTTTTCCAATCCATTCTTATTCCTCCTATTTTCACACCTGTTTTTCTGGAAACCTGTGCTCCCTTAGAAAATACCACCATTCCAAGACCTAACTCACACCTAACATGGAATTATGTAATTCCATAAATGTTCAGACCACCTCTGGAATAATGATCGTTAATAGGTGTTGTACTTTGAAGAACATTAATAAACTAGAAGTATCCAGAAAATGGTGATAAGAACAGCTACAAGGCTTAAGATTCAGTTTAAACAAAAACAAAGGTTCTAAGGATCTTTCACTTGTAGACCTAAAGAAGTCAAGACATAAGTCCTACCATAAATATTCGAGGAGCTAGCAAATAGCAAGAAACCAGATTTATGCTCTAGAACAGTGATGGCGAACCTATGACACGCATGTCAGAGGTGACACGCGAACTCATTTTTTTGGTTGATTTTTCTTTGTTAAATGGCATTTAAATATCCTATCTAATAAAAGAGAAACATGGTAATTAGCCGTAACTTTGCTACCCTTCCCATTGGCTAATCAGGGCGATATGCAAATTAACTGCCAACCAAGATGGTGGCCAGCAGCCAGGCAGGGAAGCGAACTGGAGGCTTGCTTGCTCCATGATGGAGGAAGCCAAGGTTCCCCGCCTTCCGCTGCTGGGCTCTGAGCTGCAGTTTAAGAAACATTGTTGCAATTATAGAAGCAAAAAAAAAAAAAACCCCAGATACCTGCTTTCAGCCGTCAGAGCTGGAGCGAGCAGGATCGAAACAGTGTTACAATTATAGAACCCAACAAACCAGATACCTGCTTTGAGCAGCCGAGGCCTCAAGCTGGAGCCGGCCTCAGAGCTAAAGCCGGCTTTCAGCTCCAGTGACAGCCATAGAAGGTAAATAAATCCCAGAATAAAAGAAAAAAAGGACAGGTTGGAAGCTTCAGTCGCCCACCAGCCTGAAAACGGCCCTCAGCCCCTCACCCAGACTGGCCAGGCACCCCAGTGGGGACCCCCACCCTGAAGGGGGTGTGACCAGCTGCAAACAGCCATCATCCCCTCATCCAGGCTGGCCAGGCATCCCAGTGAGGACCCCCACCCTGAAGGGGGTGTGACCAGCTGCAAACAGCCATCATCCCCTCATCCAGGCTGGCCAGGCACCCCAGTGGGGACCCCCACCCTAAAGGGGGTGTGACCAGCTGCAAACAGCCATCATCCCCTTATCCAGGCTGGCCAGGCACCCAAGCGGGACCCCCACCCTGATCCAGGACACCCTTCAGGGCAAACCAGCCGGCCCCCACCCATGTACCAGGCCTCTATCCTATAAGAGTAAAAGGGTAATATGCCTCCCAGCACCGGGATCAGCGGAGCCACGAGGCCTCCCGAACCCAGGATCAGCAGAGCAGCGAGGCCTCCCAGCACTGGGATCAGCAGAGCAGCGAGGCCTCACTGCCCCTGTGTCAAGCAGAGCCGTGAGGCCTCCCAGCACTGGGATCAGCAGAGCCGCAAGGCCTCCTGGCCCCTGGAGCAGCGTGACAGGGGGCAGCGCCCAAACCCCCTGATCGCCCTGCGGCTCTGTGTGTGACAGGGGGCGGGGCCACAACCTCCCTATCCACCCTGCTCTGTTCGTGACAGGGTGCGGCGCCCCAACCCCCTGATCGGCCCTGCTCTGTGTGTGACAGGGTGCTGCGCCCCAACCCCCCCCCATGGGCCCTGCTCTGTATGTGACAGGGTGGAGCCACAATCTCCCCATCGGCCCTGCCCTGAATGTGACAGGGGGGAGTGCCCCAACCCCCTGATCGGCCCTGCTGTGTGTGTGACAGGGTACGGAGCCCCAACCCCCCTGATGGGCCCTGCTCTCTGTGTGACAGGGGGTGGCGCCGCAACCTCCCCATCGACCCTGCCTTGAGTGTGACAGGAGGCGGCGCCCCGACCCCCCAATCGGCCCTATCCTGAGCGTGACTGGGGTGGCATCGCAACCCCCCAATCAGCCCTGCTCTGAGCCCAACCAGGGGCTGCACCTAGGGATTGGGCCTGCCCTCTGCCACCCGGGAGCAGGCCTAAGCCAGCAGGTCGTTATCTCCCGAGGGGTCCCAGACTGTGAGAGGGCACAAGTGGGGCTGAGGGACATCCCCCCGCCACCAGTGCACAAATTTTTGTGCACTGGGCCTCTAGTATAAAATAAATATCAAAAATATAAGTCTTTGTTTTACTATGGTTGCAAATATCAAAAAATTTCTATGTGACACGGCACCAGAGTTAAGTTAGGGTTTTTCAAAATGCTGACACGCCGAGCTCAAAAGGTTCGCCATCACTGCTCTAGAATATAGAATAGGACCCTATGTGAGCTTATAGGAAGATCTATCAAAGGAAAAGAATGATTGCAACTGTTTACAAAAGAAATGTGCTTCTTCAATAAGTAGTGACCTCTGCCCAGCCAGCTCAATGGTTGAGTGTCGATCCATGAACCAGGAGGTCATGGTTCAATTTCAGTCCAAGCACATGCCTGGGTTGCATTGCAGGCTTGATCCTGAGTAGGGGGCATGCAGGAGGCAGCCAATCAATGATTCTCTCTCATCATTGATGTTTCTATTCCTCTCCCCGTCTCCTTTCCTCTCTCTGAAATCAATTAAAACATTTTTCTTTTTTTAAAGCAGTGACCCATCATTTCTGGAAGAACATAACCAGAGGCATGATAATTGCATTAGTCAGGGTTCTCCAGAGGTAGCTGATAGATTATGGAAGCTGATAAATCCCATAATCCAGTCTGCAATCTGGAGACCAGGGAGAGTCTATGGTGGAGTTCCAGTCCAAAGGTGACAGGCTAGAGACACAAGAAGAGCCTCACTTTGAGTCCAAAAGCAGGAGAAAAACGATGTCCCAGCTCCAGGGCAGTCAGGCAGGAGGAATTCTCCCTCATTTACAGGTGAGGGGCTGGGGAGGCAAATCTTTTTGTTCTATTCAGGCCTTCAACTGATTGGATGGGGCCCACCCACATTAGGGAGGGCAATCTGCTTTACATAGTCTACAGATTCTAATGTTCATCTCATCTAGAAACACTCCCACAGATACACCCAGAATAACATTTGAGCAAATGTCTGGGCACTTCATGGTGCAGTCAAGCTGACACAAAATTAACCATTACAATAATCATCTATCAAGAACACCACAGAAAGAATTTCTAAATTATACAAAGATATTGTAGTCAAAGGACCAGAAACCCTAGCCATCTCCATCCCGTAAGTTTTTCTCAAATATCAGCATAGGAAAGCGATTCCGCTGATGATTATACTTAAGGACAGAGACCATTTTGCACATATGGCTTCTCCAATTCTAGACTTTGTTTTAGGGGTGGGGGACTAAATACATCCAGGAAGCTTGTACTCGGAATTCTAACAAAGCAATGGGGCTTTGCTGTGATAGAGTAAGGATGGCCACAATTTTTTGCTACCGCTTCTATTAACAGGTATAGTCTATCTCCCCTCCCCTTGAATCTGGGCTAGCCGCATTACTCACTTTGACCAACAGAAGGTGATAAAATGATACTGTGCCTGTTCCAGGCCTGGCAGTTTCTTCTTTCTTAGAGCTCTGAGCCAGCATGTAAACAGGTCTACCAAGCTATCCCTCAGAGGTCACACTGAGAGAAATGCCCAGTGAGTTTTCAGCTGCCCCAGCCACCACAGCGGAAGCATCAGACATCTAAAGGGGGCCGTAGTGGACATTCTACCCCAGTGGAGCTCCCGGCTGAATGCAGCCACGTGAACACGTCATACCACACTGAGAGATGAGCTACTCCTGCCCTGTCCAAGTTGTACAACTACCAGCAAATGTGTTTTAAGCCACTAAGATTTGGGGTGGTTTGTTATAGGAAAGAGATGCACTTATTTGGGGCATCCGCAATCTTTGCACCAAGTAAGCCTTTTTGTTTGCTGGAATAGCCTTTGGTAGGATTTTGGCCACATAAGTCCAGGTGTCTATAGACTAGGTCTTGACATAGGAGATAAGAGTTATTAACTGTGATGTTTTGTTTTAAATGCAGTCTTGTGGTCATTGACAGGCCACATACATGAAGGTGGAGATAAAAAATTCCTAGTGCCTAGTGATATGGTAGCTGTCATACCATCATAGCACAAAGGTTGCAAAAGTCAGCGAGGCTGAGGGTGAGATGGCCAACAACTTTAACCTGGGTGTGGATGAGGATGACTTTGAGAAGCTTCTTAAAGGTGGTTCCTGACGAACTGACTAATGAGTTGTGGGAAATGGAACAGCAACACATAGCTGAAGAAGAGGCAAGGAAAAAGAAAACCAGAAGAAAAAGAAGACACCTCCCTCCCAAGAAAATTCAGTGAAGGGTGTAGCAGAAGCTTTTGCAGACATCAGAAAGCTCATTAAAAAGTGTGAAAATATATCTCTCCCTTCCTCTCTGAAATCAACAAAAATATATTTTAAAAAGCATTTTAAAAAGTGTGAAAACATGGACCCCAACATTAAAAGGTTTTCATTAATAGAGGAATGTTCATGGTTCGCATCTGGCTACAAGCAAATCTATGAAGATAACGTTAATTTATTATTGGAAAAATATATATTTTAAAAATATATTTTTATTGATTTCAGAGAGGAAGGGAGAGGGAGAGAGAGAGATAGAAACATCAATGATGAGAGAGAATCATTGATCGGTTGCCTCCTGCAAGGCCCACACTGGGGATCAAGCCCACAACCCGGGCATGTACTCGACTGGAATCGAACTGTGACTTCCTAGTTCATACCGTAGGACGATGCTCAACTACTGAGCCACACCAGCTGGGCTGCCTAACACAATTAGGAGAGAATGAAAAATTCTAGTTGTTAGTTTCTCCATAAAATTTTCTTTTAGGTCAGAGAGAATAAATGGTTTCCTCTCCTGCACCAATTCTGATCCACTAGCAGTAGCTGCCTAACACACAGCACTGGATGGTTCTGGTGGGTGATGCTCCTGCTGTGACTGCAAGGCAAGGGAAGAAAGCACATGTGCTGGGATTCTTCTGACCCTCTGGTAGGAGAAAAACTCCAACTCATCAGAGAAGGGCTGAAGAGGATTGTTCCTGCTTTTCTAGTAATTAGCTGCTTGTATATAAGAGAAAGATTAGCACAAACCCTGATCTACAGTTCAGTACCTTGCTAGGCTACAATTTGTAACCAAAGGCAAGTATGCACTATATGCTCTTCATACTCACTATCTCATTTAATTCTAATAACCTAACTTCTGTTTTATAAAAATTAAAAAATGAGGCTCAGAAAGTTTCAGTTGTTCAAAACAGCACAATTCAAAGCCCAAGTCTGTCTGACACTAAAGCATCCCAAAAATCATTTGTGTGGCTTATGACAGGATACACAGGAGAGAGGAGACTGTCCCTAGTAGGCCCAACCACAAAATTGGTAACATTTAACTTTCTCAGTAAGAATTATTTGTTTTGGATATAAGTCTTAATTGAAGAAAATTACTGTAATCTATAACTCAGAGGATATTTTGATCTTGATATATCCAATATCGTGACACATATTGGATAAGTCTTGAATAAACAACAAAATTTACTGTTTCCAGAGGTTTTGTAAGTTAAGTGAAAAATCAGGATGCATTTTCTATGGAATTAAACTATTCCCACTTATGAAACACTAATAATGAAATGTCCACAGAGTTTATATTTTAATTTCAGTGTTACAAATACCATTTTTAAAACAGAGCTAGTTTTCTGTATGTCAAAGCGTTATGGTTCAGTTGATGAAGTGTGTTTGCAGCTAAAATAAAGTCACCAGAGTAAGAAAAATGTTTCAAATATCAGTTTATCACTTGCATATTAACAACAATAAAAATAAGGATTTGCTGACAAAAGAATTTTAAAGTATTTGGACAACTATCACTGAAATTTTCATTTTGACATAAGATGCAGCAAAATATGTAAAACACCAAAACAAAGCACAAAAAGTTAAAATATTAAAAATTTTCTTCCTTACTTGTTCATTACTAATCACATTTTCCTTTAACTAACTACAGTACCTTATAAGCTCCTGCATTAACAATTCAGGTTTATGCCACAAATACTTGCATTAAATAAATTTTAAAATAATAAGGCTTTATCTAATAAAAATTCAGTAGCAATTATTGAACAGGTCAACAGGTAGTTGTGCATCTAAATCTGATGAAATCTTAAAAAATAGAGAAATCTATCTGCACTTTTTGTGTTTTGGGAACATCAAGAGGAGTCCTTTATGTAGAATTCTCCCCATCTTATCCCTTGGCACAGACCCTGGGTTTTCCAGTGGCAAAGTCCTACATCCACCACAGGCTCCTTGAAGACAGGCTACTTGCTCTTTTCCCCAGTAAGATGGCAGACATGAACCACTCTTTCATTCTCTGGCCTCCCCGAGCCCCTGCCCTCCACCCTTCTACATCTGCAGCTTAATCAAGTATTTTTAAAAATATTATTTTATATCCAAATTTCTTTACCACAGTCCATCTTCCATCTCTACACACACTATGTTGAAGCATGTTTGATATTGACAATTACTACAGTGTAACATTTAATAATACAAAAAAGACAAATAGCCATAACTAAATGAATACAAACACCAAAGGCAAATTTGCACTTGTCAATTATGCAAATGTCAACTTCAGAGAGATCACTATTTTTGAATTCCAAGATGTTTAATGTAAACTGTTTTACAAAAACTAATTATAAAACACAAAGACAATAGAAATATAAGTTATTTATTAATCAATCCACTTACAAAGCAGGTGGCTTAATGCAAGCTTATTGACATCTTCACATATGATCCATGGGAACATGTCTTCCACATACAGACAGTGATGTTACTGACTGATGCATTTGCAATCTGGGACATATTAAGCATATTTAAACAAATAAAATTAGGCTATCCTGTATATGAAAGCATCTTGATAATATGCATCTTGAAGTGGATTAAAACTTTCTCCAAAGGAGAAATGTTAGTATGTTAACTTAACTTTATATTCTATATTATGCAGTAAATCTTAACTATTGAAATTAAAAATTTTAAATCAGTGATCGACTCTTGGTTAATGTATGAAGTGGGAGTCTAAAATCAGAGCAACAGTAGGTTGACAGTATAATTTGTGCCTCACAGTATCTGCAGATTTACTGTTTTCAAGTTTAAAGAGAAATAAAACAAGAGACATGTAGATTCAGCTAACTTTATTTATCTTTAAACTAATAAAAATCCCTTAAAAGTGATCCTGGGACCTTTAGTATGAATGCATAGATAACCGCTAATGACTGCAATTCTAAATCCTGACTGAATGTGTGTACAAAATCAGTGTAAGCAGATATCTTTACTACACGTGCTTAGCAGAAGACTAAACAAATTCTACATGTCCTCTTCAATTTCCCCAAAATTTTGTTAAATCTGCAAGTATGTACAATCCAGCTAATTGAAATTAATATTTAGTGTTTATCAGAGCTGTTTCACAGCAGCAAAAACTGAACCAGGGAAATAAAGTTTTAAACGAAGTAGGAAAAAGATAAATATAATCAGAACAGCAGTTTAAATGTATAATATCAATATCAACTCTCTGCATTGTGTTGAAAGGAAAAGGATACACCAAGAAAATTTCTATTGATCACTGGTGATGTGAATACCACCTGCATCTGATTGAATATGGTTTGTATTCTGTTCCCAGTATTAAGGATGGTATTTAACTCAGAACTCCATATTGTAAATATACAGCAGCCATTTTGTCCTAATTAAGGAATGTCTTAATACACAATATTATCATTTTCTAGAGGATCTTTATACATCAAACTAAAGTACATGATTGATTAAATTAAAGGTTAGTAATGGATAAAAAAAATTCATAATTCTTAAGACCTGATACTATGTAAAAAACAAAAAGACCACAAAATTCTACTTACTAAAGCAGCTAATCTTGCCTGCAAGTTTAGGGTCACAAGCCCATAATATGTGCAAAGAAATGCAATACAAGGAACCATGCAAAAATACAGTAAAATGATACAGGAAAAATGTCAAATCTAGAAAAAAAGCTTTTATAAATACATCAAAATCAACTGTATACATAAACTGTAGGTCTAGCATTAGTTGTACCATATAGCAGAGCCAGCACTCTAAGTTCAAGGCTTCCAAATCTGCGCAGGTAAGTCATGCCATCTTTGGTTGAACTGCAGTACCGGGAGGATGGGAATGAGAGGGAGGGCAAGAGTTCTGAAACATGGTGTCAACTTTCACTTGGCAGCTGGGCTTCAATGTCCACTCTGCATATGGGGCACTTCTTATTGGTAATCAACCACTGGTCAACACACACTTGGTGGAAAAGGTGCATACAGGGAAGGCGTCTATTACAGGCAAACAAAACAAAAAGCAAAATTAATTTTATGACAACTGCATGTGGCATTTCCTTTTAAACAAATGATACGTGTAATTGTAATGTTTTTAAGTTATTAGACATCTTCCTCTTCCATTCAAAACAATAAAACACCTCTCTAATAAGAGTTATACCTATATTAAATTAACACTCTGAATAATACAATGTATAAATGAACAAGATAATTGCACAGCAATGAAACCAAATCATGTAATATCTCAAGAATTTTAAGAACAATTACTCTGGCAATTAATGCTATTTTTGTTTCTATATGGGAGCTGCCAATACACTGAAGTTGCCAGTACCTTCTCTGTTATGTAATCATTACAAAATCATTACATTATTGAAGTGCTTTAAATATATATAATTTAATTCTCTCTCAAAAACATCAGAATTCATATTATAAATATTTAGCAGCCATGTCATACTAATTAAGGGATTTAATATCAATATTATTTTCTATCTAGAGGATCTTTATATATTAAACTTAAGTACATGATTGATTAAAGGTTAATATTATATTGTTTACAACATAACTGTTGCATTAACTGTTACATTTACTTAATACTATACTACTTTTATAAAAGTAGGTTAAAAGGAGATGTTTACTTAAGTACACTACACTAAGTTATCAATTAGAAATTGAGAAATAAAAAAAACCTAGGAAATCCAGGGTAACATTAAATCTAAGTGTAACAGTGGGATATAAGTTACTGACTTAAGTACCCATTCCTACTTCCATCTACTGTTAAGAGTTGTCATACATTTTCAGACTTCCTAATAGTTAGCAAAAATAGTAGCTAAAAAGAAGTGTTGCAATTACTCATTATTGACAATATTGTCAATAATGTAAAAACTATCTTCCATATTTATAAATCTTCATTGGAAATACAATGTTCAAAAAAACCTTATATGTGATATAAAAGACAATTGTTTATATTTTTCTCTCTCGGCCAATTGAAAAAATATGACAAAATTATCCTTATAAATTAGGGCAACAAAATTACCATATGGTTCTGTTACATATATATAGAACCTGTTTCACATAGGATTATGTTACATTAGAAAAAAAGAACTAGAAACAAAACAATTACTTAAGAGATTATAAGAAAATGCCTAAAATTAATATTGAGTTAATATAATAACATTTTCTAAATCACAGAGTTGCAAGAAGAGAGTAGTCCTACAATTTAAGAGGAAATTTTAAGATAAAATCCATTTATAAAAGATGCTATAGCCCAACCGGTGTTGAGCGTCCACCTATGAACCAGGAGGTTACAGTTCAATTCCTGTTCAGGGCACATGCCCAGCTTGTGGGCTCGATCCCCATTGTGGGGTGTGCAAGAGGCAGCCAATCAATAATTCACTCTCATCATTGATGTTTCTCTCTTCCTCTCCCTTCCTTTCTAAAATCAATAAAAATATATTTTTTAAAAAGACGCTGTAAAATAAATTGTATGGAGCTAAACTGGATCTCCCCCGTCTCAGCCTCAAAAGCCTCTCAAATTCTCCTTTCCCCAAGATTTGTGGAAGACAATTTTGACCACAAAATTTCCATGGCCGACTCATGGTGTGGCCCAAAAATAGGCAGTATATTTCCCATCCCTTTATTGGCAAGATGGAGGCTTTAATCTTTTTACTCTTTCACTCACTATAAGAAGCCAATTCTATATGTCAGAGATTGGTAATAGGGTATGCCAGGAATAATCTTTATTCAGTTTCTAGTCTACTTTTAAATAAATATAATCTCTTGTACAGTTTTGACAACAGATTTTAGATAATTAGCATCTAGTTACCTCACATCTTCACCTTCCTCTAAAATAGACAAACAGATAGTACATTTTTCCTCTGTGTCCTCCTCAGTCCCTTCTTCCCCATCTTGTTTGCAGTGCAGTTTCCTCTGTGAGAACCAATCAGTTGTTACCTTGTTAGTAGAGATGACATTATTGAACAACTGAGTAAAGTTTGTGTTTATTTGAAATACAAAATAAAACAAAACCACACATTCACCCACAACTTATTTCCCAGGTTCAACTGTCATGAATTAATGGATGACTTAAGTGACTATCACCAACTAAATGTTTCGTTATGACCCTTAAATAATCAATCAGCAGCAAAATCAAAGTTAACAGAAATTCATTAGTTCGAAATCTATTATTTTTAATCCACAAAAAGGATGATACACAATATAAACTCTCACTGTCCTATCATGAGCATAGCTAAATAAACTTTATTTTACTAATGAATGTTTCAAAAAAACATTCAAATTAATTAATGCTAATTACAGTACTTAGCTTAGACAGTTGAAAGGACTTAAATTTAATGCTAATACCCCATTAATACACTTAGAAAACAGATGAAAAATACAAAGAATAATTTTCACAATTTATTATTCTCTGTACAGCACAGAACATTGTTTGTTGAAAGAAACTTATTTAACATGTCTATTTCACAACTTCTTGATATACTACTACATAAGGAATTGGGGATAGAATATTAGAAATGTACGTTAACTAAATGTCCATCAAAATAAGTGGCTGGTTAAATTACGGAATTCTGTATATGCTATTAAATAAAGAATATGGGGGATCTGTGAGTGAAGATACAGAATGAAAAGAGAATGTGCCAAACTGTGTGCACAGCAACCCCTTTGTGTTATTTTTTTCAAAGTGGAAGAAAAATATATACATATGCACATTATTATAAATGTATAAAAATATTTGAAAGATTACCTAAAATTCCTTAACCATTATTTTTCTTCTGAGAAGGAAGACTGGTAACAGTCAGCAGGGCAATAAACTTCAGGGTATATATTTTTTTATACTTTGAATATTTTTAAGGATATGTATATATTGTTTTAATAATAAATAATGTATTTGTTATAATGCACAAACTAAAAAAAAGGTCCATATTAAATTTATCCATTTTAATAACAATGTAGATGTTTTACAGAGTAAATTCTTACCTTTTTGTATTTATGTGGATATGTACATCTTTCAATTGTTCCCTGGGATGCTCCACGATTGACATTTCCTAATCTTTCTTCCAAATGAATCAGTTCCTGAAAGTGAAGAATAATTCGTATTAAAAACCAGGATGGTTATTCCTTAAACAGCACTGTCAATATTGTAAAAGAAATAAAGTTCCATATTTATAAACCTGCAATACAATGCAAATAGTGTTCAAAAAGCTATAGTTAGTGCCTGAGCAGTGTGGCCCAGTGATTGAGCATCAACACATGAACCAGGTGATCACAGTTTGATTCCTACACAGGCCACATGCCTGGGTTGTGGGTTCAATCCCTAGTAGGGGGCATGCAGGAGGCAGCCAATCAGTGATTCTCTCTAATCATTGATGTTTCTATACCTCCAC